GCTTAATAATGCAGGATGCTCCCCGCCGGTTGGAGTCAGATCTTCTGAAAGCTGTCATTGCCTCTACTGATAAAAGGTTTCCCTTTTTTTAGCTTGAACAGATGCTTATGCTTTCTCTCTGCTACTTTCATGAAGGTGCAAGAGGTCTTGCCAGGAACTTGGGCCAGGTGAAGCATGTGGCTTGGGTCCTTAGTGCCTGCTTAGGTCCTAAGTGCCTTAGATCCTAGTGGCTTAGGTCCTAAGTGCCTGCTCCTGGAGTCAGGTGATGGGATCAGCAGCTCAGCTTTCATCCAAAAAGAAGGATGGATTCTATGGGTCATGGGTGACGGGTGCCTCCCGATCTCAGGGGGTGCATGTGCACTCGCGTGCACCCCCATGCGTCGCCAATGCTATGGATGAAAAGAAGAGATGCATTCGGGTACGGCAGCCCCCTGACGCGGTGAGACAGCCAAAGATGTATCAGTTGAAGCAGCACGGCGATAATGCCCTAGCCCCACCGTGGCTCTGAGCGCAGGCCCCCCAATGTGGTGCCAAGCAGGGGCACGGACAATCCTTCAGCTGAGCTTCAAGGAGAAGTGACTCAGACCCTTGCACTGCTCTGCGGCAGTTTTCACTGCAGTGCAGATGACAAGCGGAAAGGACCTGCCCTCAGTGACATGGACCTGACCCGTGCTGGTTCCCTCCTCAGTGCTCTGAATAAAGGATGCACATAAATCAGTAGCTAAGAGCAAAGGCAAAAGGCGACCCCTTTTAGCAAAGGCCTGTCAGGAGGGGGAGTGGTTGGGCTATTCCCCGGATAGCAGCAGAGCAGCCTGGGCATTGGAAATCAGGAGCAGAAGGTGGGAAGGAAACCGCATACCTCACTGTCAGAAAAGCTTAAATAGGAAGGAAGATGTCTGACTCGGGGGGGACCAAGAGGGGACCCTTAAAACTCCCTGCAGATTCAGTGAGCGCTGACTGGACAGTCTGACTACAGCTACAAGAGGCGGCAGCTGGCTCCGCAACAAAAGACCCATCTCCAAAAGCTACCTCTGCAAATCTGCAATCAGAGACCTCCACGGGAGAGGGTGACAGCAGCTCTCCAGTCCCTACATCCTGCCAGCTCCATGGAGCACTTGGCGCTAAGGACACTGGACTTCCCTAGGATGGCACGGCCCATATCCTAGTCCTGGCGAAGGACCTCTTTGCACAAGGTGCAATGCCAAACCTCCCTCCCCACAAACTCCCCCAAAAAAACAAAAAAACCCCAACACAGAATGAAATCCTGGCTCCAGTGAAATGACTGGCAAAGCTGCCATTGACTTTGCTGGGGCAGCTTTCCTCCAAGCATCCTGCCCAAGGAATGTGCAAGCTGAGAAGACCAGCAAACCCTAAAAGGAGAGGGAGATGTCTGCATACCCTGGCCACAGTGTCTGCATCTGTAAAGACAGCTTTTAATATGCTGTGCGTGGCCCATTTCCTTCAGGCCAAGACCCAGGATATCTTACAACACCTTCAGCTCTCCTGTGAAATATGAATTTCCATTTCCACCTAGGAGAAATTTTACAATCTTTCCATTCTCCTATGGCTGAAGAAGCGTGAGTGCACCCGAAAGCTTGCAAATAAGCATTTTTTTTTTTGCAAATATCTAATAATAATTTTTTTTGGTCTAATAAAAGATATCACTCCTGCCACAAGTTCTGATCCCATTTCATTCACACACACACACACACACACACACACACACTGACCACCGCCAGGGGGGTCACAACAATGATTTATTACCCTTAGTGCTTCTAGGGTTTCAACCAAGTCAACGGGAGTGAAGGTTTTGCAATACAGGGATCAGAAACCACTCAGCTTCTTTCTTCCCATCAGATCTGCACCCACTGAACAGGCCGTCTATACCCACTTTCCCTCTCCCCACTTCAGTGTAGCCCACCAGTGGGCCTGGCCCCATTCTGCTTTTGCCTGGAATGGAGCTATACCTCTGATCCCCAGCTAAGGATTCGGTTCACACGGACACTTGCAAGCCCCTTACGGCGTAGTGGACTAATGGCCAAGTCTTGCCTCCCCTCCATCAAGTCAGTGATACCTGGGCACAACAGGTGGAAAGTGATTCCAGAGCATGAGGGTACAACGATGCCACAAAGGAGCCACAGGAAAGACTAGTCCCAAATTCAGGTTTATCTAGATGGGAAGGCCCCAGTCCAGCTCCCACTGAAGGAAGTGGCAAATCTACCCCTTACAGCCCTCATAAAGAGCAGCCCCAGGCCTCGCATCCTACAGCTTTCACACATGCGCACTCCCCCTTGTGAAAATCTGTGACCCTTCCCACCGAGAGCTGGTAGAAACCCAGCCAGACCCAGCACCAGTAATTAAGGCTCATTTTTCAATGAGTGAGCACAAAGCACTTTGCCTCTGTAATAAATTCGGAGGTGGCTGCCTGAAAGGGAACCTGCCGCGGCTTTATGAAACTGCTCGGAGTGGGGTCTGGAAACTTAAAAGGAAAAGAAGGTTGTAAATCCGTGTTTCCAAGCACAAAAAAAGCCTTCTGGATCAAAGCAGCAGCAAGGAGGAAACACAGTCCCAAATTCCCTCCTGCGTTGTTTCTAGCCTGAGCTGACCACTCAAAACATGAAGGGACCCATTGTCCGAAGCCTGGGAGTGGCCAATTCCAACATGCTACAGAAACCACTCAGCATTGCTGGCTCAGCCAGAGAAAGTCTAAGAGTGAGAACGGTCACAGCTCAGGTCAGGAGTCTCTGCCCTGCGGGAAGGGATGCTGGCAAATGGACGAGCAGGAAGGGATGCTGGCAAATGCACCCCTGCGGCCGGGAAGGGATACTGGCATATGCACGCACAGGGTAACTGTGGATTGGAGGCACTGCTCCGATTTCTGCAGCTCACACTTCCACCTAATGCAAAGATCAATGCTCAGTGGCAGGCATCTCCAAACTGGGCCCAGCTCTGGGTGGCATTAGCCCCTTGTCAGAGGTTGTAGCCCCCTTGGAGGGGGTGGGGGGGGGGGGGGGTTGGATTTAATAAATCAGCCCAAACGGGACAAAATATTGCAAGTGGCTTTATCTTTTAAAAGTCTTCAGCGTCTCTTCTAACACCCTTCAATAAGGACCTTTTTTTCTTCTTCATAACCGGTGGTTAAAAGAGTGAGGAATAGATTTTAGCTTGGGGCTGTGTTGTACTAAGCACAGTTCAGCTCCAATAAAAGCTAAAGGCTGGGCAACCTTCCCACCCAGCGATAGCTACACAACACGACAGACTCCTGAGCTCAGTGACTCGGCATCCCATACAGCCCTAATTTTGGGACCCTCCTTCTCATCTAGCCATGAAGACAAAGGATGTTGTGGTCCCCAAAGCCTGCTGGGCGAGCAGAAATGAGTGCACGCCCCACTTGCTTTGGCTGCCTCCTCTTATACATTCAGACCAACTACGCTGTGATTGGAACTGCCTCTGTATGAGTGTTCACGACTTACAGCAATGGGACTAGGTCCCTAATCAAGCCTTTCGCCAGCCATCACAGAATTCAAGAGAAATAACGCTGTGCACAGCCCCTAGAAGTAGCAAAACAGAATAAGGAAAGACAGCTACATTTTAAAGTGCTAGATCAAAGCAACAGCAATCAGGACTCGTGCTAAAGGTGATATCTTTTATGACACCAACTAGATTTTTGCAAAAAAACATTGCAAAAATCTAGTTGGTCTCATAAAAGATATCACCTCTACCACAAGTTCTGATTTTTTTTTTGCTTCTAGACCAATATGGCTACAACCTGGATATAAGATCAAAGCAACCGAAGTTAGGCGCGGTGTCTGCATGTCGTAGGGGACCGATGCTTGCAGACATGGAGACCCCATTGCCGGCACCTTAAGAAGCCTGTCGCAAGCTCTGCAAAGGCCAGTTTCTACTGCCCAGCCCTCTCCTTTGTTTCCTTTCCATACAGGTTTAACAGGGTTTTCCACATATCAGGCAAGAAGGCTCACTCCGTTCCAGCAAAGCAAACACAAAAAAATCAATACCAGGCTGTCTTCAGAGCCCGGTCCCAGCCCAAAGAGCCTCTTTGTGCACTGAAACCGGGGTGGCCGGGGTGTGAAAGGAAGAGCTGACTGAATTCAGCTCTTCCACAGGCTTTACACAAAGCCTAATTATTCCCCCGGGGTTCCCCTCCCCACCGCCTGCCTCCAGAGGCCCCAGGATTGCTCTTCAGAGGCCAGCTGGCTTTGTGGAGACAGGCTTGCGGGGGCGAGGGGGGAGAAGGCTGCTCAGAGTGCCCTGCCATAGGGCTCTGTTGTCACGCAGCCTCCCCGTGCTGTGCGCCTGATCAGCCAGCCCCAGCAACCAGGGGGAGGGGGGAGAGTGTGCGTGCGTATGGAGATAGGTCACTCCCTATTTGCTGCATTACAAAAAAAGGGATACAGGAGTGCAAAAGAGCAGAAGCCCCTTGCCCGCAGCCCCCAGGGACTGCCACCCCCACACCACAGCCCTCCATAAGCCCTTCCACCCCCTGGCAAGTGCCATGTAGAGCTGAGATTCCCCACCCAGGCTCAAGTCTCCGTGAGGAGCGTGAGGTGGGTCCCTGAAGCTACAGCTCGGCTTCCCATTCACTTGGGCAGCTCTGGCAGTTCTCAATCCATCTCGCCACCCCTCTCTCAAGGCCCTGAATGTGAGGCGTGACCTGGGTCCTGGTCACACTGTGGCAGCAGTGTGTCCTGCTCCATCGGCTCCAAACCCTGGCGAGTCTGCAAAAGTGAGGTCCCCCCAGGATCACCCGAGTGACTGCTTGTTAGCAGACCGGAAAGAGCGGTCTTGAGAACATCTGTTGGGGACAAGAGTGACCTGCTGGCATATTAGGCGCACATGCATGGGAGTGGGTGGGCCAGGAGCACTGCTAAGAAACGTGCCACCTGATCCACTTGTCCCCCTCCGCACATGCCAACACTCAGAAACTGGGAAGCACGACCGCTACGGCACAGCCCCGAGCCCCAACCTAAAGCCCCACTTACGTTCGGGCGCTTCCACTGGATGCCCTGGATGCGAGACTTGTAGAAGAGGGAGTCCTGGGGGGCTGGGGA